TTTATTTATTTTAGATTTATTTATTTACTTATACAAGCACTGGGTACAGTCAGAAGCGCGGGAGGGTGAGAGAATTCACCAGAGCCAGAGCCGGGAGCAGAGCAGGCAGAAGGACCGAAGTACACTGCTGAGGGGAGCAGCGGGCGGCAGGAGAGGTCTGCGCGCCATGTGGGACCCTCCTCTGGTGGCCGGGGAGCAGCCGGGGATCGAACCAGTGCCGCAGAGGCCACGGACAGCCTCGCAACCCAGCGCTCAACTGCTGCGCCACCAGTGAGGCCCCTGGCTGCGTCTTAGTAGATTCTTAGGCCTTGAGGGGACCTAAAGAATAGTGGGATGGGCCTCCCCTGGTGGCTCAGGTGGTTAAGCGCCGCACTGTGAAACTGTCTGCAGCCTCTGCAGCACGGGTTCGATCCCGGCCGGCCAGCAAGAATCCCACATGGTGCAGCAGACCTCTCCTGTCTCGCCTGCTGCTCCCGTCAGCAGTATGTTTCGACAGTCTGCCTGTTCTGCTCTCCACTCTGTCTCTGGTGAATCCTCTCACCCTGCCGCGCATCTGGCCTATACCCCAGCGCTTGTATAAATAAAAAAATAAATCTTTTTAAAAAAAAAGGAATAGTGGGATACAGGAGGGACCTCTGATCCATGATGTAGAGGGTCAGACTCTAGACCTGCCTTCCCGGTGGCAGCACGTCAACCATAAGTGTGATTGTTAACTGTGTGGTAGTCACAGTAAAAAAGCAACAGGCGAAATTAAATTTCATGGTCTCTTTGCTTAACCCATATATCCAAAGAATTATCACTCCCATATGAAATCAATATTGGAAAATTATTGAGACAGTTTGTGTTTCTTCTGGCCAGCCTTTGAACCCCAACGTGTAATTCGCTCTTCCAGCACATCTCAGTGGAACAGCCTCAGCTGAGGAGTTCAGTGGCCCTTATGGCTGGTGGCCGCCCAGCTGGACAGTGCAGCTCTAGGCCCACCCAGCAGTGTGATCCGTGTGGAATGAACTCTTGGCCTCTCTGGGCCTGTTTGCTCCCTTTTGAATAGGGGAGCTGGGGGGATGGCAAAGGGCTCCTCTTCATCCAAACGCCGCCAGCTTCCAGCGCCAGACCTGGGAAGCCGCAGACAAGGCAGGGCAAGCAGGTCTTATTATGGCAGCTGAACTTCCCACCTGGGGGGGACAATTGGATGTGGCCTGGCTCAGGGTGAGGATGAGAAATATATGGCAGCAGATAACATTGCTTTGGGGAGGAAGAAGAAGGCATAGCATGTGGGGCTGTACTTTTTTTTTTTTAAAGATTTATTTATTTATGCATATAAGAACTGGGGTGTAGGCCAGAGGTACAGGGGGTAAGAGAATTCACCAGAGAGAGAGAGTGGGGAACATAACTGGCAGATCTACTAAAATAGAGGGAGCAGGGGAGCTGAGGGGAGCAGTGGGCGAGACAGGAGAGGTCTGCTGTGCCATGTGGGTCAGCTCCCTGGCCGGGGATCAAACTCAGGCTGCAGTGGCTGGCGATAGCTTGATGGTGCTGAGACTTAATCCCTACGCCACCAGGAAGGCCCAGTGGGGCTCTTCTTAAGATTGCAGTGGGCCCTGGTAAGTGCTCAGAATCACTTAATTCAGGGCTGCCTCCTCTGTCCCCTCAGTCCACCTGTCCTTCTGTAAATCAGGAGTGAAAGGGCACTTCCTTCATACCGTTGCTGTGGGGAATAAATAAGACACCGTGCACTGGCGTGGGGACATGCTTGCTGCACAGCGAATCTGTCTCCAAACTGCTCCTATTCCCAGTCCTTGGGTTGCAGACAAGCTGCCCAGGATGGGAGGGGCTTGCCCAAGGTCGCAAGGCGAGATGGCAGTAACAGACGCTGGCCTAGTTTGGCTCCCTCTTTCTCGCTGGCACTGGTCCCCGAAAGTGAGCCGCTAATTTCCTCGCAGCAAGGTAAATGAAATAAATACACCCAAAAGCCCTGCACTACTCGAATGAGGCCCAGGTCCAAGTATTGTTTCCATGGTGTGTGGTGCTCTGGCGTGCACGCGCATGCGGTCTGTTTAAAATCGCAGCTCCAATGGGTGGAGGCTGGGTGGGCAGGATATGCTACCCTGCCCCCGACTGCCCACAGACAATACCCCGTGCCATGACTGGCTCGAGATTCTTCAGTGTGATTTCCAGCAAAGGGTCCCCCTCTAGATGCACATGCAGTACCTTTGGTGAGACTGTGATGGCGTAGAAAGTGCATGGAATTAAAAGCCAGGAAACCCGGTTCATTAGATATTATATAACAATAACAGGAAGCCACTCTGAGCATTCACTCTGACATTGCCAAGTACCCTGCCTGTACTATTTTTATTTGATCCTCCCAGTTACCTAGGGAGGTGGTAATTACTTAATCATCCCATTTTACAGATAAAGATACTGAGGTTTAGAAAATGAAGAACTGTCCCCCAAACATACAGAACCAGAAAGGGCCTACAAGTAGTCCCCGTGGCAGTAGGTTGGCCCAGGACTGAAGACACTCCTGAGGACTGGACATTCACAGACTGGGACGAGAGGGTCTCCAAACAGCAGCTTAATGTATTCACCTGGCAGAGGGTCATTGAACCCAGCTCTGGTCAGGGTGAGGATGAAAATCTGACAGCAGATGAGGGTTGGGGCAGGGAGGAAAAGGAGGGATGCCGTGGACTTGGTGCTAGAATCACGATTGACAAAGGAAAATACTCATAACGCGCTCCCTTACACGCAGCCCTTGCTCTCTCTCCCGCTTTCTCCCCGCCCTCCCTCTCTTTTTCGGCATATTCTGAATATCCCTGCCTCTCCCAAGCCCAGCCTTCTTCCAATTCCTTCCAAATAATCAGTTTCTTTCTGAAGGCCAAAGATGGAGAAACAACCCCACCCCACCCCCAGTTTCCCAGGCACCAGCCAGAGCCCTCTGTGACTTAGGGAAGCAGCTGAAAAAGAGGGAAGAAAAGCTGAGGGTGACTGGGGAGGCTCAGGGATGGCTTCATTCCTCTTTGTTAACTTCAGCCAAGCCCAGGCTCTGTCCTTCAGTGAGGTCTGACCGCCCCCCAGCCTGTGGAAGAAGAGAACTTGGGGGCCCAACCTCCCCCAAGAGCTCACCTTCCATTCCCTCCTTTAATTAAAGAATGGAGCCCGATGCCAATATTGGACCCTCGAGAGATCAGGAGGTCCCAGCTGTCTCTGCCTCCAACCCAAAAAGGAACATCCTGGCTTTGGTACCCAGAAGTAATAGGGCTAAGGGTGAGTTCAGGAAGCAAGCAGGAGGGTGGGGCTGGGCCGCTCCTCCCTAGTGAGGAAGGACCCAGTGCTTCCGGAAGGCTTTCTCTGTAAACCAGAGATACTGAAAGACACTCAGCCAGTGGACACCCGGGTTGCACCAGCTCACACACACAGCCGAGGAGTGACCAGCATGAGGGCGATGCATGAATACGCAGAGAGAAACACACACAGAGCGACGCCAGATGGAGAAGGCAGCCCGGGCTGGGCCCGGGTATTCATTATTCCTCACCCACACAGAGGGACTGGCAGAGTTACGTAACGCAAGCTGCAGAGGGGGTAGGCTGAACTTGTTAACCACCCCAGGAGGGGATCCAGGAGGTGGCTTCTCCTCCCCAGGGGGTGTCTGCACCCACAGCCTGTTTTCAGAGGCAGCAAGAGCCTGACAGCTGCCTCCGCCCAGGGGTGACCCCAGGAAGTCGCAAAAAGGGAAACGAGGGAGTGAGTGTCACTTTGTTAGTAGTGGCAGCTGGGGGCTCCCTCCTTGTGCTAAGGATGCTGGCAGGAAGGGGTGTTAGGACACAGAGGGAACTGGGACTTGAGCTAAGGGACAGGAAATACACTGAGGGCTTCCCTGCTGCCCCCCACGCATCCCCACTCCACCCACACCCACAGATCACCTGCCCCGCCCCAGGTGCACGGGACCAGTTGACAGAGCTGCTGGCTGTACACCTGCACCCAGGGCTCTCTGCTGGCCGTGCTACCCCGGCCAAACCCCGTTTCTCTGAATCTGGAGGAGTTGGTAAAATAACTAGAAGATAAATGTTTTAAAACGAAAGTTTGGGTTTGCGACCTCGGAACAAGAATGGAGCCCAACTGAGTTCAAATCCTCGGCCACCATTTTCTGTGTGACCGTGGGCAGCTGACTGAGACTGCCCCAGCTCCGCTCTCCTCTGCTGAAGGGTTACCGTGTGACTCAAAGTGGGGGACGTACATGTTCAGAGCCTCAGTGCTCCATAAGTGTGGGTTCTGTTTAGTCTTGGGGTTTTTTTTTTTCCCCTTTTCAGTCATCCACATTTACTGGACACCTGCTCTGCGCTCTTGTTGACCCTGGGGGCACAAGCCCCCTCCTGCTAATGCTTCTCCATTAGGGTCTCAGACCATCGGTGGAGCACAAATGTCCTTCAGAGTTTTGTGTGAATCCATCTCTTTGGTACTTACACTAAATTGGGTTCATAATGGTTTGTGATGTGGCCAAGCCCAATGGGCATCCCTCATCAGCAGTTCCATGGACGGTACCAGTCCCCCTCCAGTGGGCTTTCTTAAGGGAAATTTGGGGGTGGCCTCAATGGAGAGGCCAAAGACCCAGGCTGGCTGAGCTCTGACCTATGATTAGAAAATGTTTGCAAAACACAGAGTGCCCAACGCTGCGAGATATGTTGGCGTGGGGACTTCTCGCAGTGACAAGGAGATGAGAGGTCTGATTCTTGCCATCTGAGTTCTGGGACTCACCGTCAGTGCTCTGTCCGGGGGCGCCCTTTGGCCCTGCAGGGCTTTAGGCATGGAGATGATAATAAGGAGCTTACAGCTAACTGGGGAGTGGGCCCCCTGGAGGAAGAAGGATTTCATTTCTGGGTTAATTTCTGAACTCCAACAACTTGACTCCACTGTTTTCCATCCTGGTCTTGAACTTGGTGTTGGGCGCTCAGCATCAGTCTCTCCTTTTTAATTCTTTTCATCCCTCCCTTGTTCCTTGTCACCAGCTCAGGAAGCCCCTGATCTGATCTGCTTCTATTGGGCTGGCGATCCACATCTAGCATGCATCACCTCTAGACACAGCTACGTGCGTCCCCCAGACACTTCTTCCCAGTCCACCCGACCTGCTGCTTGGGGACACTCCCCACCGCTTCTCCTGACGTCTGCCTGATCACTCATCACTTCCTTGGAGAACAAGGAGGGAGCAGACGCATGAAATCATGCCACCAATGTCCCGACAGCAATGAGGGGGTGACGCCACTTGACGTCACAGGCACAGAGGACCCGGACCCCAGGCAGCCAGCTCTCGAGACTCTCGCAGCTCCTGCAGCGCCTTCTCTCGGCACAGCCTGAAGCCTGGCTCCTCCAGGGGACGTCGCCTTGGCTTGACATATTCTGAGGTCTCCAGCCTCTTGGACACAGGACGCCATGGAGAATCACATGTTCACGGTACAGCAGATCCAACCCAATGTCATTTCTGTCCGCCTCTTCAAGCGCAAAGTGGGGGGCCTGGGCTTCTTGGTGAAGGAGCGGGTGAACAAGCCCCCTGTGATCATCTCTGACCTGATTCGAGGGGGTGCCGCAGAGCAGAGCGGCCTCATCCAGGCTGGGGACATCATTCTCGCGGTCAACGGCCAGCCCTTGGTGGATCTGAGCTATGACAGCGCCCTGGAGGTCCTCAGGGGCATTGCCTCCGAGACCCATGTGGTCCTCATCCTGAGGGGCCCCGAGGGCTTCACCACGCATCTAGAGACTACCTTTACTGGGGACGGGACCCCCAAAACCATCCGGGTGACACGGCCCCTGGGTCCACCCCCCACTGCTGTCGATCTGACCCACCAGCCGTCAGCCAGCAAAGAGCAGCCACTGGCAGGGGACAGGGCTACGGGTCCCGGAGGGCCGCCGCCTGCCTCAGACAATGGGCCGGAAGCTGGCCTGCTCGCCCACACTAACGGCCTGGCTCCCAGGCACCCAAGCCAGAACCCTGCCAAGAAAGGTGCCGGGGTGGGCCCCCAGGGCAGCGGGGAGAACAATGAACTGCTCAGAGAGATAGAGCCAGTGCTGAGCCTGCTCACCAGTGGGGCCAAAGGACTCAATGGCGGAGCAGCTGCCAAGGCACAGACGAAAGATGCAGAAGTCCAGGTGGACAGGTAAGCTCCATGGGTATACCCGTCGTGTGTGTGTGTGTGTGTGTGTGTGTGTGTGTGTGTATTATCAGTTGTCTCAGCCACCTGGACAGGAGCATCCACTCACCCATCCTTGCCTCTTGCTCTTAAAACTGAAATTCAGGGCCTCCCTGGTGGTGCAAGGGATTAAGTATTAGGCAGCACTATGACACTACCCGCAGCCTCTGCAGCACGAGTTCGATTCCAGGCCAGGGAGCTACCCACATGGCGCAGCAGACCTCTCCTGTCGTCCCACTGCTGTGTATTTCAGTCAATCTGCCTGTTTTGTTCCCCACTCTGTCTCTGGTGAATCCTCTCACCCGCCGCACCTCTGGTATGCACCCCAGCTCTTGTATGCATAAATAAATAAATCTTTTTAAAAAACCTGCAATTGAAAGAGCAGAGTAGGCGTAACTTCTAGCCTGAATCTCTTGCCTGGGAACCCATAGTTAGTGATCACGGTCGCGGGAGTCATGTCTTCCAGTCTTCCCCTATCATCCTCCAGCAATCCCCCTTGCGGCCGCAGTGGCGAGCAAGGAAGGTCCTGAGGAGGGGATTTGGAATTAAAGCAGAGAATGGGCCCGACTCCCCAAACTGTGGTCTGGTTGGGATTATGTGGGAGCTGAGGCTCGGACTTGAAGAACCAACTGGTACCAGCCCCCTGTGTTTGCCAGCTTGGCATTTTCTGATTCTCTGGAGGTGGAGAGCTGGCAACACAGTGGGCGATTCTAGTTCCTTCTCTGGGGAGGAGTCAGCAGCTGGGCCAGGTGGTCAGAGAACAGTGGAGACAGGAGAAAGAATTTTCCCTCTGCCCTCCCCCCACTCTCATCTTAGGTCTAGCACTGACCCTCCGTCCCCCAGCACTATCAGGGTGGGCCTAGGTGGGTTCCTCTTCTGCACTCCCCATTAGAAGGAGGCTGGGGTCTGGGCTCCACCACCCAAAATCCAGACCCAGACTCCTCCATACCACCTCAAGCACCCAGGTGTCCCCAGGTCACCAGGGAGTCCCTCAGGGGCCTGGATTAGGGTAGTTCTCAAGGGTCTTGCATTCATTCACGTAACATATTCATTGAGGACCTACTATGTGCCACGCTGTTCTGGGCACCCAGAGTAAAGCAGTGAATGGAATTGACAAATCCTCTGACCTTGTGAGTGGATGAGCTGACTGTGCAGTGGGGAAGATGAAGAATAGTTAGCATAAAGATGGAAAATGTGTAGTCCAGTGGATGTGTGTAAAGGCAGGAACAGGACACAGTGCAGGTTTTCAGATCCCATGCAGACCGAGTAGTTTTCAGTAGATTTCTTGAGACCACCCTCCACGTTAGTCTTTTTTCCCTACATAGGCACCTCCGTGGTGACAACTGTTGGGAGGAGGAACACTGTAAAGGCAGGAATAGACACGGTGCAGGTTTTCCGATCCCATGCAGACCGAGTAAAGGAGGAGTCAGAGTCCTCAGTGGTTTTTTGCAGGTCTTTTATGGGGGTTCACCAGGCATATGGCAGGCAAGGGTGCTGGGGGGCCGGGAGGCTGGCAGGCCTCCCAGCCCCCAGCAAATCCTCACTCTCTCTGGGCTCTCTGGTGATCTCGGCTTCCCTTCGGCTTCTGCTGCTGCTTTCTCAGCTTCTGGCATCCCTGTGGCGCCGCCCTTAAAAGCACAGTCTTAGCACACGTGTACCCTACTCCAGGTGCCCGCCATCAGGCATGCATTCAGGATCACAGGGTTCCCTCATCTATCCTGATGGCGGGAGGGCAGAAAAGCCTGATGCCTTTTACCTTACCCTACAATGTGCTAAGATCAGTAGAGTAGGCAGGGATTAGGAAGTGTTGGAGAGGGTGAAATTTTAGAGGGAGGCTCTGCGACTTTCTCTACCTAGGAAGGCCATGTTGGAAGACCCAGACAAAGGAGAGAGGAAGACTTGCAGCTTCATGGAGCATTCTAGGCAGAGAGAAAGGGGGATACCAGGGTACTGGGGTGTTTGATGAACTGCATGGGATCCAGTACTCCTTCCTGATGGGGAACCCAAAAACCACCCTTTGGTAGGCTCCTCCATCTGAGGCACACCATTTTATACTGAAACTTTTCCTAACTTCTCACACCTGGGCAAAAACTGCACCAGTTCCTCCGAGACCCCCCCATAGGAAGATGAGGCTTCATTGGAAATCCCTGAGCTGACGGGAAAGCAGGACCACTTGCTGCCTTTTGAGCCCCTGCCCTGTGGCCCTCTGCTCTTGTGCAAGTTCCCTGGAGACACCCTGGACCACCCCCCCCAACCCTGACACACACATACCCCTTAGGTCCTGTCTCCGTGGGAGACGGAGCCTTGGCCCCATACGTAGCGCATGTTGTGGCCATCTTGGTGAGGCAGACAGTCAGGGCTCCCTGGTGCCCCGATGTCCATTTCCGTAGCTGGGGGCCAGCATGACTTCCTGGGGTTCTCCTGTTCTCAGAGACCAGGCCTAACTCAATTGCAACTAGAATGGAAGACTCCCCCCGAAGCTAGAGCCCTGCTCTGAAGGGGCTAGCACCTCCCAGGGGACCCCCACTCGCATGCCAGCAGCCATGGCCTGTTCAGTCTGGCTGTGTCTGCTGAGCCACCGCAGGTCCCCTGAGTTTCCTTCGGAGGGCTGAAATTCTAAAGATCTGCAGAATCCAGAGCAATCACTGCTCTTGTTCTCGGAGACACGGAAGTGCCCCTCCCCAAAGGCTCCTGGCATCACCTCCTCCAATCCTATAGGCGCTTCTGTAACCCTCAGCACCAGATCCTCCCAAGAGCAGCCGACATTGACTGGGGCAGCTGAGCACCAACTGCCTAATGTTCCGTGTGCTTGGTTCTTGTTCCTGACTGGCCTGGGCGGTGAGTGTCAGTGTTCCAGGAGGCTCAAGCTCAGCCCCCGCAGATGGAGTGTCCGTGTGTAGGGAGAAGTCCCCGACGTCTGGCACACCGAGGCCAGGTGCAGGGCTTCTAGACTTGGGTGGGGCTGTCGTGGGAAGGGCTTTCATGGAGCCCTCCCGGCAGCCAGGCCCCAGGGGCCGGTCCAGCCACCGACTGGGAAGCAGCAGCCTGTTTCCCTGAGGATAAGGGAGGGTCAGCCAGTCTGAGCTGGGTTCTGCTTTGGGGCATCTGCTTCCCAATGGGAAAGATTGCATCTGAACCCCCAGCCTGCCCTGCTCCACTACCGCCCTCCCTCTGGTGACCCTGTCTCACCCTCGCAGAAGAGCAGGAAAGACTGCTTCCAAGGAAGTAAGGTTGGGGAGCAAGTCCGGAGCCCACAAAACAGTGAGTGGTTCTCAGGGTGGATAGTAATAAGAGTATGACCCCCAAACTTGGTGGCTCACACCCTGCTGGACTCAAGCCACCCCCATTTTTTAACAAATATTGTTACTTGCCCCTTTCACTCACGGGATGCTCTTTCAGGGATCATTTAACCTACCCACATTTTTCCTTTTTTAATCAACATAATGCCCTAATTATAAAGTAAAGGCGGCAGAGCATCCAAGTAACATGGCATAGGAGAACCTGTCATTTAACTCTCAGGGTCCAGGCGTGACTCCCTGGATGGGTCAGATGTTTGTGCCTAAACATAGAATCACTGCAAACACGACAGTGTCAAAACGCAGATTGACTCAGGTGTGTTGTTTTGGCAACTCAAATGCCACCAGCAGCGTCGCCTTGGTGACGTGATTTTCCAAAATGGTGAGCAGCTCCCGATAAAGCCACGTCCTGTCTCTTTGATTTACCAAGTAGTTGCACACATGGACAATTCAGTCTGTTTTAAAGCCATATTATTAAGCCACATTTACACACCACGACTGAATGGGGTCTCAGTTCAGGGACATCTGCCTGGGTGTCCAAAGTTTACATGTGGTCAGAACCCTTCTCCCTAATGTGGGTTTGTCCCAGCCTTGCAGGGTGTCCATCACTCAGTGTAACCTCTCTCCCTCCAAGATGCCAGCAACCAAAAGTGCCCCCACATGATGCCAAACTGCCTCCCAGGGGCCAGAACAAAAGCCTTGTTAAGAATCAGTGTCACCAGTCAGAAAACAGGAACCCAGAGAAAGATAGAATGTTCTTCGGGACCACTCTGGGGGCTGGCTCAGGCCTCTTGGAGTACACGCTGCCTGGAAATTACTCACCTTCCCATTGGCCTCTCCGTCCTGGCTGCATGCTGCTCCAGGGTGGGGTGGGAACTGGCCTCCCTGATGCAGGATGAACAGGTGACAGTGAGGCCGGCTACCAGCCAACCCCAAGCCCCACATCCAGGTCACACTCAGCAATCCGTGGCTTCTGGGGACCGAGCAGAAGCCGGGCCACCCCTGGTTTCAGCAGCGCCCTTGTGTCCTGCACCTGGGCCCTCATTGTCTTCCTTCCCTCTTTCCTTTTGGACACAGACTTATTCTCCTGCCCCATCTAGTCTCTTTCCCCCGTGGGGGTGCTGGCCCTTGTCGGGAGAAGCCACGTTTACATGCAGCCTCATTCCTTCATCCCAGGGAGGAGGTGGCGGGGGCAGGCGGTGGCAGCATGTGAGAGAGTGTAAGGAAGGGAATCTGGGGGTTTCTGGGACCTTCTGTGCTTGGGAGCGGTCACTTTAAAACGGTCACTTCTAAGCCTGTCAGAGGAAATCCAGGTTGCTCAGCTTGCTGCCCTGAAGGAAGGTTCTAAAGAGGCCAAGGTCCCCGGCCCAGCATCCATCTGGACCCGCCGTTCAGCCTCGCCCTGTGCTCTGATAACTAACTTCTCCACTTGCAGGGCACTCAGTTACTTAGATTACCTCGTGTGTGAAGTCAGCTCCCTAAGTAGGATGCGTGATTTTAGCTCCATCTTATAGATAAGGAACGTGATTTTAGCTCCATCTTATATAAGGAACGGAAGCTCAGCGAGGCAAAGCACCTTGCCTGAGGTCACAGTCCTGCTTCTACCTAGAAATCGCACATGAGTGCCTAGAGTTAAAAAGAAGCCAGGTGAGAGGATCTGGAGGAACAGAG